GAGGGGGGGCAGGGGGGTAAGAGGTGGGGGTGCAGGATAGGGGGTTGGATATGTAGTGGGGCTTAGTGCCAAGGGGATGTAGGAATCAGGGCAGAGGGTGGAGGGTTAAGGGCAGGGGGCTCAGGGCTGGGAGGTCTGGGGGAGGCTTACCATGACTTCCTGTGGCAGTGAAGATGGTGCTGCTCCAAGGGGGCACAGTTTCTGCTCCCCCCCAGCATCTCCCCTGGGGGGCAGTGGTTTCTGGCCTTTCCCTGGTGTGTCCTGGGGTGGGGAGATGCTGCACTGTGTTTCCCAGTTGACCCTTCCCATGTCTCCTGGCATTGGGAGGGGGCCAATGTGCCCCATCCTTGCATCTCTTGAAGGTGGGGAGGCTGCCAAGTTGTGATTCACAGCCCCCCAGTTTGTCCTGGGGCCAGGGACCTGCCAGGCTGTGATTTGTGGCCCCCTGGCATGTCATGGGATGGGTGGGGGTCACTGAGCCACGGTTTACAGCCCCCCAGCATGTCCTGGGGGGTAGGGGTTTGTGCCCCCCCCTTGCGTGTTCTGGGGAAGGATTGAAGCTGGGACCAGGGCCGTGTGGTGGGCAGCTGAACCATGTGCCAGGGCTGGAGCCAAGGCCATGGTGCAGCTGATCTTGGGTGTACTTCAGCCCTGGCCCCAGGAGCAGCCACACCGCAGCCTGGCCTCTAGCACCGACAGCCACCACGCAGCCTGCCCTGGTTGCAGCTGGGCATCCACTGGCCCCAAGGCAGCTGCCCAAGCTGGAGCTGGGCTGCAGTACGGTTGTTCCTGGGGTTGGGGTACACCCTGTCCCAGCCCCTGGAGCAGCTGCACCACAGCCTAGCTTTAGCTCTGGCCGCGCCCACTAGTGGCTGGCAGAAGAACCATATTTGACACCCTTGTGAGCCATATTTGGCTTACGAGCCATAGGCTGCAGACACCTACTATGTTGGTTTTCAGGTTGCTTTGTACTTGTTTGGTGTAAAGCAGCCTGAATGTAGATGAGAATTTGGGCCTTCATATAATTCTTTTTATTTCACAAAATGAATAGCAATGTATTTAATTCAGAAAAAAAACATGCTTCAATTGCATTATAAATAGCTTTCTCTGAAACCTGTCCCCTTTATTTTTTTGACAGGAATTTTGTAGAACTTGCGTCTTCAACATTACACCATTGACAAATATTTTGGAATTTAGGACTACTAAAACCTATATCTAATTTAAATTGTCAACAGCCTCTCAAATATTTTGTAAAAAATATTCCCTCATTTTCTTTTCTTACCAATATAATTCTTTGAAATGAAGAAAGATTCTCCCAGTGAAAATCTACCACAGCACTCTCAAGTCCAATTTTTTCTTTCAGTGTCTCTGATTGCAGGCCTGAATCTGTTATAAAATATAAATTCAGAGAAGCAATTATACAACAATAATAAAAAAGACCAGCACACACAGACTATTTTTTCCAGTGAGTACTATGGATGTTAAGGACTAGTTGACTAGTTGCTTCCCCCCACCCCCTTGCTGCCTTTATCAGATAAAAGCAGCGAGTGGGGGAGAAGAAAGGGGTACTTCAAAGCGGCAGCACTGCATGGAGCCCGGGGTCAGCTGCTCTGTGCAGTGCTGTGGCAGTGTTTCAAAGGGGCAGTGCCACATGGAGCCCAGGAATAGCTGGGGAGTCCCTTACCACATGTACCCATTGACCAAAGACTTAAGATGGCTTTTTGTTTTTTTTTAAAGCTAAACACATGATTTTTGTCAACTGAATCAGTTTCAAGAATGGCACTATCTGAATAATGCTGTAACAAATCCCTGCCCCCCTAAGATGCTATGATTGTAGCCATGCTGCACATGCTGGCCACCTCAAACTTCATGGTGACAGAATAAAAATGGCCATACTGGGTCACACCAAAGGTCCACCTAGCCCAGTATCTGGTCTTCTGTCAGTGGCCGATCCCAGATGCCCCAGACAGAGTGAACAGAACATATAATCATCAAGTGATCCCTCTCCTGTCATCCATTTCCTGCCTCTGACAATCAGAGATTAGGGACACGATTCCTACCCATTCTGGCAAATAGGCAGGGCTCGACAAATAATACAATCTATTCACTCGTGATGAGTAGATTGTAACCCAGAAGAGCCGGGTTCGGGCGATCTGCGCATACGCAGAACGATGTGCGCACGCGCAGATCGCCAAACAGCGTGGCTCTGCTAATAGGTATTGATGGATGTAACCTCCATGAATTTATCTAGTTCTTTTCTGAACCCTGTTAAAGTCTTGGTCTTCACAACATCCTCTGACAAGGAGTTCCACAGGTTGACTGTGCACTGCTTGAAGAAAAACTTTTTTTTGTTTTAAACCTAATACCTATTAATTTCATCTGATGACCCCTAGTTCTTATGTTATGGGAACAAGTAAATTACTTTTCCTTATTCACTATCTGTCATGATTTTATAGACTTCTATCATATTTCCCCTTAGTCTCCTTTTTTCTAAGCTGAAAAGTCCCAGTCTTTTTTATCTCTCTTCAGATGGTACCTGTTCCAAACCCCTAATAATTTTATTGCCTTTTTCTTAACCTTTTCCAATACCAATATATCTTTTTTGAGATGAAGCAGTCACAGCTGTATGCAGTATTCAAGATGTGGGTGCACTGTGGATTTATATAGAAGCAATAAAATATTCTCTATCTTATTCTCAATCCCTTTTTAAATTATTCCTAACATTCTGTTTGCTTTTTATGACTGCTGCTGCAAATTAAGTGGATGCTTCCAGAGAACTACCTGCAATGATTCTAGATCTTCCTTGAGTAGTAATAGCTAAATTAGTCCCTGTAATTTTGTATATCCAGATGGGATTATTTTTTCCAATGTGCATTACTTTGCATTTAACAACATTAAAATTCATTTGCACAATCACTTAGTTTTGTAACATTCTTTTGTGCTCTTCACAGTCTGCTTTGATCTTAACTATTTGGAGGAGTTTAATACCATCTGCATATTTTGCCACCTCATTGTTTACCCCTTTCTCCAGATCATTTATAAATATGTGGAATAGGATTGGTCCCAGTATGCACACTTGGGGGGACACCACTAGTTACTTCTCTCCATTCTGAAAACTCACTATTTATTCCTACCCTTTGTTTTAAACAGTTATCTATCCATGAAAGGACAACCCATGTAGACAAACTGCTCCAAAAAGCACAAACATCTATAGTTATTAGCAGCTCACTGGGGAAGTTCTGATTCTCTCCAATCGCAGGCAGCAGTAGACATGCATAGTAACCAGTTCATTTCAGCACTTAGTATGTTATGCAGCCAACTTTACACAAAAACCCTGTAGGTCTGTAGATATCAACACAATCCCAAAAATGAATCTATGATGATTTACAAAGTTGTGTGATAGTTATTCTGATATAGTCCCTCATGTGGACCCAATTATATAGGTACAAAGATGCACTATATCTGCATAGTTTATTCCCCTTCTCATACAGGAATAGCTCTATCACGATAGAGTACCTTTATAGTGGTATTATTGAGACCTTCTAATATGGGAGCAAGTGGTTATCACAGAATCATGAACCTTGAGAGGTCAACTAGTTTAGACCCCCATGCTAGGCAGAATCAAGTATTCCTGGACTATTCCTGTCAGGTCTTTCGCTAACTGATTCTTAAAAAGCTCCAAGGCTAGGGATTCTACATCCAATCTTGGAACCTTATTATATGAACAACTATCCTGATAGTTAGGAAGATATTTCTAATATCTAATCTAAAAATGCCTTGCTTCAGATTAAGCCAATTACGTCTTGTCCTACAGTCAATGGACAGGGGAGACAACTGACCAGTCCATTTCATAACAATTGTTAACATATTTGAAGACTGTTATTAGGTGCCCTCTTCAGTCATCTTTTACACATGCAGTTTTTAAAATCTTTCCTAATAGGTCAGGAATTCTAAACTTTTAAATTTTTTGTTGCTCTCCTCTGTGCTCTCTCAAATTTATTCACATCTTTCCTTGATGCCCAGAACTGGACACAGTGCTCTAATTAAGGCCTCATCAGTGCTAAGAAAAGTGGTATAATTACCTCCCATGTCATACATAAGAAACTCTATTTATAAATCCCAAAGTGATATTAACCTTTTTTGCAACTGGAGCAGATTGTTAGCTTATGCGTGGTGCACTATAACCCCTTGCAACATGGGAGTCCACATGGGAGAGATCTCAGGTCAGCAACCCCTGGGGCATTGAATAGTATGCTATGGGGCCTCCATAGTACTGCCAGTTGCTGAACTAGGCTTTCCTGTTGGGCTTGCTGCTGGGTAGCCAATGCCCTCATCATCTCCTGTTAGTGGTTTGTCACCTGTTGCAACAGTTGTGTGTACTGCTCCTGTTGGCAAGCTTGTTGATGCTAGCCTTCTATGAGCCATTTCAGGACCTTGTCTGATGCCATACTAGTGTTGCTTGCCTATGCCTCACTAGTGCAAAATGAAAGGGGGAATCCTGAGTAATGTCTGAACGTCCCTTTGATTCCCTAGTCTAGACCTCTCCTCAGGAGGAAGAGAGTGCCCTCTGGGGCAGTGCCCATATTCTCCAACCACATCCAATGCAGGGCAAGTAAGCCCATCTCCCTTGTGAAGCATTTATGCAGTTCCCTGGTTTGTTCTCCCCAACACGTCTTCAGGTCTGCACTTAGCTGTGTGCCTCAGTGGTCCAGTGGCTAAAGTCTGTAAATCCACCCCATCTTTAGGACGGTGTGGCCCACTGGCCAAAGTCATTAAACTCACTCTGGTTTGCAGGGCAGCATGGCCCACTGGCCCAGTCAAACTCACCCTGATCTGCAAGGAAATGTGGCCCACTGGCCAGAGTCAGTAAACTCATCCCTGTCCACAGGGCACTGTAGCTCATTGGCCAAAGTCATTAAACTCGCTCTGATCTGCAGGGCAGTGTGGCCCAGTGGCCAGAGTCACTAAGTTCACTCAAACTCCTAGGGCAGTATGGCTCAACAGACAGAGTCAGTAAGTTGCTCCAGTTCCCAGGGTAGTGTACCTCCCTGGTTAGAGACAGGAGATAGGGGAGAGGGTTACATCCCCCAGCACTGGGGTCCAGGCCCTCCCTCTCTACTGGACCTCAGCCCAGAGCCCAATTAGTATCTGGAGCTCCAGCCACTGAGTCAGTGGGGAAAAGCTCCAACTGAAACACTCTGACTCCTGATGCTGGCTCACTCAGCAGTTAGCCATCACCTTCCATTAGGTTACTTCCTTCTGTTGTCTCCACGGTTATGGTATGGGTCTTTGTCTCCTCTCCCTGCTCTAGGTTGGTCCAATCCTTGAGGCCTCTGAACTCCATGAAGCCTCTGAGGAGTGTCTCACCTTCAGCCTGAGTTGTGGTGTTTCTGTGTCTAGGTTTGCACTGCGGCTTGCCTGGAGCAAGTGGTGCACACCTTCTCTCTCCAGCAATCAGTATAAGTGAGCTGCTCCATATTTATACCTGTGCAGCTGGAACATGCACAATAAGGAGGAAGGAGTATGGCTTTGTTAGCCCCCAGTATAGGGGTAACCCTCTCACCCAGCGTGGTTTGAGTGCACCCTGTCACACCCCCATACCTTGTTCAGCAACTACTGCTTCTCCAGTTATTCCCCATTTTGTAGTTGTGCAGTTGGTTTGTTCTTCCTAAGTGTAGTAATTTGCACTTATCTTTCTTTAATGTCATCTTATTGAGTTCAGACCAATTCTCCAAATTGTTAAGGTCATTTTGCATTCTGATCCTGTCTTCCTAGGGCTTGCAACTCTCCTGTTTGGTGTCATCTGCATATTTTATAACCATACTCTCCACTTGATTAACCAAATCTTAATGAAAATATTGAATAGTACCAGACCCAGGATAAAACCTCTGCAGGGTCACACAATATATGGCTTTCTATTTCGAAAGTGAACCATTGATAACTACTTTTTGAGAATAGTCTTTCAGCTAGCTTTGATTTATCTTACAAGCAATGTCATCCAACACATTTCCTTTGTTTACTTATAAGAATGTCATGTGGCACTATGTCAAAGGCATAATTAAAATTAACATATATATCATGGCTAGAGCTTACCCCCTCCTGAAAGCCATCCACGAGGTCTGTCATCCCAAACTGTGGAGAACACAGTTTGACTAGCCTGAGACCCAACTCTGTGGAGAACTGTGGACTAGCCTGAGACCCAACTCTTTTCAGGGGCCATGTTGGGTCTCAGGCTAGTCCTCACAGTGAGTGAACAGAGAGTACCACCTAACCCCACTGCCATCTATGCTCCACTCCCAGCCTCAGCCCCTGACTGCGAGCCAGTAGTACCCCAGCCGTGGCTCCCCAGCCAAAGATTCCCTGGCTGAGGTTCCATTTGAGCTGCAACTTCATTCCCAACCTTAGCTCTACCCCCAGCTGCAGCCCTAGCCTTGGCCTATTATGCCTTTCCACATCTCCTGGCCCTGGCAGAAGTAGGCAGTGTGTGTGACTGTGAAAAGTTTGGGCACTCTGCACTAAGCCACTAATCTTTTCAAAGATTATATCACTAATTATATTGGTATAAATGAAGTGATACAACATGTGTGTTTACATAAGCCCAAAGTATCTTGTTGAATCAGAGCCTTATAAGCTTTACTCTCCTGGTTCATAAAGTCACTACAAATGATCAACATGCAGCTTTACTTGCCGGTAGAGGTAATATTTTTCATTAGATCAAGATCTGCTGTTGAACTTGTACGGAACTCTTGTCAGGTCTGGGATCTCTGTATAAGATTGAAAGCTTGTCTCTCTTATCAACAGTGGTTGGTCCAGTAAAAGATATTACTTCACCTATCTTGTCTCTATAAATATCCTGGTACAGACACAGCTACAACACTACATATAGATTTACTAGGCACAACTAAGGATATAGTACTCCTTATGCAAGATTAAAGTTATAAACAAAATAAAAATAAAATTATGAGCTTGTACCTTGCTGTGATGCTGCTGGCCTGTAACATGTACTGAGTAAATAATATGGGTTATCACTGTTTAGGAAAGAACTCCATTGTTGAGAATTTGATGCAAGGGATTCACACAAGAAATTGAAAGGTTGCATGTGAGTGCTCATGTACTGACATTCCTTCCACATGGATTCAGTAATCCAGAGACAAGGAGTTTTATTAAACACATATGGATCTAAGCAACAACAAGAATTATAGGATTAGAACATATGAATACTTTGCTGCTTAGAGTTTCAGTCATATGTCACATGAGTAAAGTAACTATGGTCTGCTCACTTAAGTTTGATCATAAACTGAAAATATAAAAGGAGACTATTTAGGAAGATTACAGTTTATGCTTTTGGGGTATTAAAACAGCTTTGTTACATTACCATTACACTATTCTACCAATGTTAATGCTGTTTCACTAGAATGAGAGGGTTTTTACTCTGTGCAGTATCTGGAGTTGTTTGAGATGTGTCCTTCTAAGGGTTCCCCATTTTAGGTGCAGTGCACCCCATTTGCCTTTGATTGGAGACCTTTGGTTGCAGTGCCCAGTCAGCCCACAGACATGTTCCAGACATCCATGAGTCCTTTACTTAGACACATAGGGCTGTGCAAATGAACTACCACTAATTGCCTTCTGACATCCAAGGTAGGAAGATACCTTACTCCCTGGTCTGATGTGGATTTTGGAAAACAACTGGGAGATGAATGGCAAGATGAATATTAAATTCAGAAGATGCTTGAGGTAGAAATTTGGAATGCAGTCACAACAAAACTTTTCTCTTGAAAAACTTGATGAAGGGAGAAAGGAAACTTACTCACCTTGTGCATTAACGACAATTCTTTGAGATGTGTGTCCCCGTGGGTGCTTCATGGTTGGTGTTGGGCTCACCCCGCGCTGCAGATTGGAGATTTTTTCTAGCAGTATCTAGTCAGGCCATGCATGCACAAGAGTGGTACATGCCATTTGCGCCCATGATGTTTGCACGCGTGGTCTGACTCCCCTCAGTTTCTTCATGAACACCCTCTTATGTGACTGTCAAACCAAAAAAGAGGGGAGGAGGGGTGGGTAGTAGAGCATCCATGGGGACACGCATCTTGAAGAACTGTTGTTGCTGCACAAGGTGAGTAACTTCCCTTTCTTCTTTAAGTGATGTCCGCGTGGGTGCTCCACTGTTGGTGACTACTTAGCAGTATCCCAAAGATGAAAGGCAGGCTTTGGCTAGGTTTTTTTGTGCAGATGAAAGGACTGCACTGGCTACTACAGTTTGTATCCATTCGTGTGGAAATTGCATAGTGCCTCATGAAAGTATGGTTAGAGGACCAGGTAGTGGCATGGCAAATGTTCTGGAGTGGAGCTCCCTTCAGGAAGGCTGTTGATGTTGACATTGCTCAAGTGGAGCATGCCTTAGGGAGCATAAGAAGAGGTGCCCCTTGGAGGAAGTAACATTGGATGATGCAGGTTGTCACCAGTTTTGAGACCCTCTGTGATGCTCCACCAGTGAAATGAATAGGGTCTGTGATTATGGAAGGGCCAAGTAAGGTCTATATGGAATGATAATGCCTTCTGGACATCCAGGGCGTAGAATAGCCTCTTCTTGAGAAGCATGAGGTTTTGGGCAGAAGGCCAGGAGGACGATAGGAGAAATCAGAACAAACTTTAGGCAGGAACAAAGGGTGGAGGTGCAGAACCACCATGTCTTTGTGGAATATGGTGTAGGGAGGGGATACTGTGAGAGCAGCAATCTCACTAACTCACCTTGCCGATGTGTTGGCTGTTAGAAGTATTTAGTGTTAGGAGATACAGCGAGCATTTGGTGGCCTTGGGCTCAAACGGTGATCTGGAAAGTGCATGGAGTACCAATTCTAGATCCCACATGGGAAGAATAGGACTACGTGGTGGAATAAGATTATGTAGCACTTTGAGGAATCTCATAGGAATAGGATGAGCAAATATGGAGAAACTTGGATTGAAGGGTGGAATGCTGCAAGTGCAGCTTAGATGCACTCTGAATTATGAAACTAATAAACCTTGTTGTTGCAGAAAGAATGTAGTCAAGGATCGTGTGGGGAGGTGCACATAAGGGATGGATGTCATTTCTCTCACACCAGACAGTAAACTGCCTCCACTTATGGAGGTAAGTTTTGTGAGTCATCTGACATCTATTGTGGAATAGGATGCTTCTTACTTGCTATGAACACCTCTGTTCTGCCTCTGAGAACCAGCGAGGAGCCATGCCTTCAGATGTAGTGTCTGCGGCTGCATGTGGCAAAGGGTGCCTCTGTTCTGAAAAAGAAGGTCTGAGTGGGTTGGAAGTGGGTAGGGAGGTTGGAGGGACATCTGATAGCGATAGGGAAACCAGATCTGCCTGGCCCACAATGGGGCTATGAGGATGACTAGGACATTGTGTGACTATCTTGCAGAGAACTCTGGGGATGAGCGGGATGGGAGGAAAGGCGAAGAGAATGTGGGTATTCCATGGGATAACAAAAGCATCTCCTAATGATCTGAGTTCTATGCCTGCAATGGAGCAATAGCGAGGGCACTTGGTATTGTGGCATGTTACAGAGAGGTCTTTTAATGGCCAAACCCATTGGTGGAAGATGTTGTGCAGGATCCCGGTATGGATTTCCCACTCATGCTCTACTGCAAACTTGAGGCTGAGGATATCCACAATAACATTCTTGACTCCAGGTAGGTAAGATGCCGTGATGGTGATATTATTGTGGATACGCCAGTTCTACAAGCATACCAGCTCCGCACAGACATAGTGGGAATGTATACCTCCCTGTTGATTGATGTAAAACATTGTAGTGACATTGTCTATAAGGATGCAGATCAGGGAATCCTGAATGTGTTGGCAGAAGTGTTTGTAGGTGTGCACAGCTCGGAACTCCAGGAGACTGATGTGGAGCCTGGATTTGTGGGTGGACCATTTGCCCTGAGCAAAGCGATGCTGGGGATGGGTGCCCTAGCCAAGGAGGTAATGTGGCTGGATGGTTGTGCAGGATGAAACAGTACACCAGCAAGGAGGTTCCCTTATAGGTCTATCATCATAATGACGAAAGGACAGTTGGGAGAATTGAACATGTCTGTGCACCCAATGTTTGGACAGGGTGTAGGCTGAGGCAAGCCAGTGCTGAAGGCATTGGAAGTATAGATGCGTGTGGTAGACGACATATGTTGTAGCAGCCATATGTCCCAGCAGCCATGTGTCCCATAAGTCGAAGGTCGGTAAGTATTGGGATCATGGGGACATAGTTGAAACCAGGCTTTTTATTGCTTCAAAATGTTGATTTGGCAGAAATGTGCATGATGTGGTAGAATCAAGACGCACTCCTATGAATTCTAGGGATTGGGTCAGGAAGAGGGTAGATTTTTGCTCGTTGATAACAAGGCTGAGAGATTCTAAGAACCTCTTGGTGAAGAGGAACATATCTCTTGTGGCCTGATGTGAAGGGTCTCAAATGAGGCAATCGTCTAGGTATGGAAATATTATGATGCCTTGGCTATGAAGGTATGAAGCTATAGCCAGGGTCTTGGAGAAGACTCTGGGGGCAGATGAAAGCCTGAAAGGCAAAACTCTGTACTAGAAATGAGCTGAAGCCACCATAAATTGGAGGAAGCACCTGTGCATGCTGAGTGTATGGTTATATGAAAATAAACATCTTGGAGGTTGAGTGATGTGAACCAGTCTCCCTTGTCTAGTGCTGGGATAATTACCATGAGTGTGACCATCTTGAATCACTATTTAAAGAGGTATTTGTTTAGATGGCAGAGGTCAAGGATGGGTCTCCATCCCCCATTCTTTTTTCCATGAGGAAGTAATTTGAATAAATCCCTTGCCCTGGTATTGCTCGGGTACCCTCTCTATAGCTCCTATGTGTAGAAGGTGGTGTACCTCTTGATAGAGCAGTTTTTCGTGAGAGGGGTCCCTATAGAAGTATGGGGAGGTTGGGAGAACTGAAAGTAGGGGACCGAGCATCCGCACTTGATAATCTCTAGGACCCAGCAATCTGTGGTAATTGTTGCTCACTGGTTGTAAAAAGAGCTTACATAGTGATGGAATACAGTGTGTTGGAAAGGCACTGGTGGAGTGGAGAGGTTGTGCAGGCACTTGAGAGAAGCATCAAACCTACTGCTTGGAGGCTTGATGGCTGGACGAATGCGTGTTAATAGCTCGTCATTGCTGGTTTCTTGGCCTGGAGTGATTGCTGTCAAATGACCTTTGATTGTTGTCAAATGGCCTGTCAAATGTGAGGTCTCTGGCTGTGTCTACACTGGCATGAATTTCCGGAAATGCTTAAAACAGAATAGTTTTCGTTATAAGTATTTCCGGAAAAAGAGCGTCTACATTGGCAGGCTGCTTTTCCGGAAAAAGGGCTTTTCCGGAAAAGCCCTTTTTCCGGAAAAGCATCTGTGGCCAATGTAGACGCGCTTTTCCGGAAAAGCCCTTTTTCCGGAAAAGCATCTGTGGCCAATGTAGACGCGCTTTTCCGGAAAAGCCCTTTTTCCGGAAAAGCATCTGTGGCCAATGTAGACGCGCTTTTCCGGAAAAGCCCTTTTTCCGGAAAAGCATCTGTGGCCAATGTAGACGCGCTTTTCCGGAAAAGCCCTTTTTCCGGAAAAGCAGCCTGCCAATGTAGACGCTCTTTTTCCGGAAATACTTATAACGAAAACTATTCTGTTTTAAGCATTTCCGGAAATTCATGCCAGTGTAGACACAGCCTCTGTGTCTCTGGTAGGGAGTATACCGTTTCCTACCATATGGGTTTGTATACATCCCCAAAGTATGTAAGGTGGTCCGTGAGTCCTTGCTGGAGTAAAGGACTTTGTCCATTTTCACTGCAAAGAGCTTATCTTTGCCAAATGGTAGGTCCTCCATTTTGGTCTGGAGCTCTTTGGGGACCCCTGCTGTTTGTCACCACGATGTGCATTTCATTACATTAGATGATGCCATGGCTCTCACAGACGTGTCAGCGGAGCCGAGCGCCATCTGCAGGGCTGTGTAAGATGTAGGGTAGCCTGCCTGTACTATAGATTTTAGTACAGGTTTTTTATCATCAGGAAGGTATTGCATTAGTTCTGTCAGTTTAGCATAATTATCAAACTTGTGATTGGCTAATAATGCTGTATAGTTGGTTATCCACAGCTGCAGCATTGAGGAAGAGTACATTTTCCTGCCAAAC